CCGATTAAACATTTATACAAATATACGCATTGATACTACTCCTTTTGATTCATGCCTGAATAGCCTTGGGCCAAGGCACATTCGGTTCAGTTTAATTTTCTTTAAAAATACCTTGCATCTTACACTGGACTGATTCTCTAAGGAAATGGCTTTCATTTGAGAGTAATTGCAGGGTAGTCAATGATGTTCTAGGTAAGTTGCTATCACCTGTTTTATTTCATGTTCCCTATATTTATTTCATAAATAAACTAACCACCAAAGCAGGGCGAGTTCACTCACGGAGAAGAAATCACTGCAGTAAGAGGAGAAATGAGATGAGGTGGCCCTTGCCCTGCTGGCTGACAAGAAAGGGATTCCTCAAGAGACCTGTGGGGATCAACTAGGATTTGCTCACAGGGGCCAAAGACAACTGAACCTGTGAGAGAAAAATATTTCCAGGGAAATCAAATGGCCCAGTCTGGACCATAGCTTCTTTTCTGGGAAGTCCCCTTAGGGGTAACTCTTAGAAACAAAATGCTCATGATTTACTGAACACCTTGGACTTGTTAGAGTACCCACATGATGGTGTTTGTTCTCTAGTCCCTGTTTTTGATTGCATTGTTCCTTGTTTAGTCATCTATATTCTAATTCAGTCTAGCCTGCCTATTGTCCTCCAGTTTTGGCCACTATTTCCCCCAGAACATAATAATAGGGTGAAGATCTATCTACCCCTTTCTTTCACCCCTCATCACTCTTATGCTTCTACTTCTTCTATTTCTTTGGGTTTGGGAAAAAGCAAGAACAGTGCTGGAGGGGTCACAGAGGTCCCTGTACTCACATAGAAGCACTAAGAGAATCAGGAGTGTTAATCACACAGGGTGTTTCCTCAATGGAGGAAATAAAATCAAATACCTGCCTCCCATTCAGAAAGGTGAGGCTGGAAGTTGTTAGTGACCTGGTGACCTTTTTGCTCTCTGAAGGGACAGGTCTCACCCTGATTCCCCAGAATAATTATCCCAGACTCTTCCGTCCCTAGACCCTTACCATCCTTAGGGGAGATGTCATATACACTTTATGTCCTGCCGACTTCTATGCTATTGGTCAGAGGCCACACTAGATCAGAGGCCTTTTATCTATAGAACCCACACTTATGGCCACACACACACTTTGTGAAAGAGTTTCTATGTAGTCACACTTTAAGCTTTATTGGGCCCCTGGAATTGGACTGATTGTTGCCTGGATACTCTTTCCCCAAACTGTACTGTGTTTTAAATATGCTAACAATGAACTGCCTGGCATTAGCCTTCCTGATGGAACTCTGATCCAGGGTGACTAAGTCAGTGTGCACTGGGATTTCATTCTCATCTCTTCATTTGATTCACTTCCTACCATGACATCTGCAGGGACCCTCTTCAATGTGCTATGGCAGTGTGTCCCTGATTTTTAAAATTTTTGATGTAGTCTTCAAGTCTGGACACTAAGCTCACATGCATGTTTGCCTGGAAACTGCTCACTGGTCTACTGTCTAATGTATCACATATCCACTAGCTTGATTCCTCCGAGTCTTGTTCACTGGCACACATCCTATGGCCCCATGGGTGAGTGAGCCTGGCAGCGGGGCTTGCTGGGGTCTTTTCAAGATGGTTCAAAGCTCAACACCTTGGCAAGGATCTGTGGGCTCCATGGGAATATGATCAAGATTTGCCCTTTATTGGTGGTAATACTTGTCAAAAGATTTACTACTGGTTCCCGTCTCCATTTGTTTTACTCTGATCAAACACTGAAAGAGTCCCAATATGACAGAATGTTTTTAAATCTCTTAGTGTTTTGGTGAGTTTTTAAAATAGCTGTTAAATGGTTTTGTTCTTCATTTAGTGAAAGAAAATTAAAGCAGCTTGTGTAATCCTGTTAATAAATAGTTTTGTTCATGATGTAGTTCACAAATGAGGAACTACATCATGGCTACAAGTACAATTCAGGGCTCTTGTTCACTCACTGGAAACACTTTACTGAGTTGAACTTTCTATTTGCTATGAAGGAAATGTGCTTCTTTGTATCTATAGGAACTACAAACCCCATGGTGACCATAGTATTGGTGTTGTATGATAAACAATGGCATGCTGAGGAAGACACAACTTACCTCACAGAGACATCACTTAGGTTGTACTTGGAGGAATTAGCTAAGCTCCAAAATGGAAAGGCAAACATTAAGAAGGAATGGGAAGCACAGGCATGGGCATATGTGGGCCACAGAATGCTAAGCTTTAGAAACAGACCGACCATCTCAGGAGAGAATAGAGGCATACAGACAAGGAATAGCAACCGAAAGAAGGTGGAAGTTGTTGTACAGTAGAGTTATGTTGTAATCACATACAGTATTTATTATATGGAATTATTGATGTGTATCTCATCTCACTGTGGGTAAATTCAGGAAATATGAGTATTATGGTACATGGAGTTTTGCATGTCCCAATTAATTTTATGACAGTTTGCCAGGATTCTCGATATAGAATGAGTTCCCTAAATAGGATACCTCAAAATGGCAGCTGTCACTGATGAATTGTTAGCCCCCTGCTTTCACTCATCAAATATCTACTATTTCAATTGGTGCTCTTCCCACTTTTAGTCTGTTTTCTCCATGGTATGTGCTAGTCTGTATCAAGAGACTACAAATATAAAGATGTAAAAGAAGAGATGATGCTAATATTAAACAGTAACTGCCCACTCAATGGCTAATGTTATCCTCGCCAACTTAGCCTTTCACTGATAAATGGGCTTATTACCCGTAACCTTAAATTCTGACTTTCATTTCTCTGACATGACTCTAGTTAGACTGCCATTAAGTCACGTGGGTTTGGCACCTGGTGACTAAGCCATATCCTAGGATGGACATGTTTGTCCACTACATCCAAATAGGTCTGCAATGTGGTTTTCATATCCTTTAGAAAAATGACATCAGAGATTCCTTCTCAAGAAAGTAGTTGTGTTCATTTGAAAAATAACATGCAAACTCCATTTGTTAACATTCATTTTTATAAAATACCTTAAAAGAAGAGATAGAGTACTTGAGGTTACATATCCAGAATGGAAAATAAGAATGAATACAATATAAATTAATTGAACACATAACTATTTTGCCACATTAAACAAGTTTAAAAAATGCATTTCCAAACAATACAAATGGGAATTGGGAAGAAAACCTTTCTTTCTATTGCTGTCTTTTTCCAGAACCTCTTCCTTGAAATGCTGACATTCCAGGCTTACAGGCAGTAGCTGCATTAATATTTAAAATATACTGTATTTTACTTCCAAATCAGTCCATCTGAAACATTTTAAAACCAGGTGAGATAATTCAGTGCAAACTAAAGCTTCAAGTTGAAAATCCAAGAGACAAAGTCATGTTCAAAATGTAGGAAATGCTTCTGGAACTGAACAATTAAGGACTTCACATTATGAAGAAATCTTTGCATGTGTCCTTGGTGTGAGAAATGCTGAGTTAGCAAACATACCTTTGGAGGCTGTAATTAGGGCTCTATTGCACTGAGGGCAGGATGAAGGTAGGAAGGGCCAACAACTATAATTGTGGAAGCAAGCTCAAGTTAAACATTAAAATGACTGGATGTGGTTCTAGAAAATTTGGCTGTGGTATATCAGATACCAACAGATCAGGAGAAAAGAAGAAAAGGAAAAACAAACAAAAGAGCCCACAACAACAAAATAACCTCCCCGAATTGTGTAAAAACAATTACTGGAATATCACTGGGGATGGATGCCATGTCCTTAACATCCAGAACAATTTGTAGGTAGGTAGGGGCTAAAATTGGCCATGATTTGTTTTAATTGTATAGATCCTACTAAATACTGACCTAAGGTAATTCTATTCTTGTGGGAGGAAGATCTAACTTTCTGGGTCAGAGGGAACAAAGTCTGGATCATTTCAAATATTAACTAGTAGTCCATTTCATAATAAAATTAATTTGGATTACATCTTCAAACAAATTCTGTGAGTTTCATTTTGTTTCCATTGTCTTATGTATGACTCATTGAATTCACTTTAATGAAAAGACTGGCAGCTGCCACAGTGGAAGATACAGAGATCTTGGTACAATTCAGAAACTTACTTACATTTTTTTCTTCCTAAACCTCGGGCTCAAATAAAGGGAATCATGAAATCTTTAGCTTTTCAATTCTTTCTGAAAGTCTCACATATGACCTAAGAAGTGGATGAGAATATGCTATGGGTCCCAGGTTCCTGTCTTACATCACTCCCTAATCTATCAAGGATGTCCTTAAAATGTTAGGCCAACAAAGGGGCAACTTTGAGTTTTAGGCTGTGCCAATTGTTGGCAAGTCACATGAAACCCAAAATACATAGCATTGTTCCAATATGATGTCAGAACCTATAAAACAAGTAAAAAAATTATGGGCAGATACTAAAACAACAAACAGCCAAATATATATATCATACCTCCTTATAGGAATAGCATCTAAGGAAATTAAAAAATATCCCTCTGGTGGCAGAAGTAGCATAGGACCATGGAAACAAATCTTAAACTGGCAAAGACTATGGATCCTCAAGTCTTGTCTCATTCTATGAAAGCCAGACTACAAAGGAATGTCCTGGATCCTATTCCTAGGCAAACATGGCTTTGTTGCTGAGTGTTTTACACCATCAACTTCATCAGAACCACCCAATGGTCATTATCTGAGGCATTTCTGTGTATCACACTGGGTGTGGAGTAAGGAGTGGTACAAACCTCCGTAAACCTTCAACTAAGTCAATCTTGACAAAGTATGTGGTTCAAGCATTTTTCATGGAGATAGTTTTGATTCTTTTTTCCCTACTATTAGGTATGCAAAAAAAAAACCCTGAAATTTCTGGAGTTCTGAAGCCCTACC